TCTTTTGCAATATGTATTATGTTACTTGTTTATTCCTTTGATTCAGATAAAATACATTCAGTTTAAGATGAGTGAGTTGATTTTCTTATCGAAATGTGCCTGTTGTTAGTTAAACAGATGTAATACAGATCCGACCCAAAGAAATTTGGATAAGGGTCAAAATCAACTAAAATCAACTTTGAATGACATTGTATGATATAACGATATAGCGTTGAAAGTTATTTAGAAAAGTGTCATAAAGTATGCAGATCCGTATTAAAAAAAAAGAGGCCGAGGGTGGCCCAGAGAGTACGAACTGGATTGAAATTATTAGGTTCAGTGGCGTCTCAGTGGGCACCACAGCCAACAATATTGAGAAAAAAAAATGGGCAAATGGTCTCGCAAAAAGTCCGTGTAGGATTCTTGACTTTTGCTTTTTTTTCTGTGTTCTGCTCCACTTGACTTTTTTACTATCGAACTACTTTCATTACCACTCATAGTCTTGAAAAACACGGACACATCAAGGAAAAGGACAATAAACATCAATCACCAAAAACGAATATACGCCAGCCCTTTTTATGACGGATGAACGACGATCAATGAAAGAGATAAGAAAAATGAATGAAGCGAGGCAACGGCAGTGTTGCCAACTGGATGGACTATAAAGTCGCTACACATGAACCAAAATTCCGCTACACTGCTTCATATTCAGCTACGCTTTTATATCTGACGAAATCAGTTCGCGCATGAGCCCTCCCCAAAATTAAATACCATAGAACTTACAGTTTGTAATTTGTGTACCGTTCAGATACCACAAAACTGAACTGTAACTAATATCAATAATCAGGATCATGTTAATTTTCAACCGCGCTACTCAGTAGATGGTACCTAATTTTTTAAAATTACAGCAGGTAATTTTTGAAAGCTGTCGTCTCGACCAAATATTTCTTAGCTTGAAATAATGATTTTGAAAAGTAAAAATAAATATCAATTTGTTCACGTACGTATGTATAGTCACACTAAGCTTTCGAACGATCATTCGAGACAGGTCTAATCCATCCTTTCCAATTGGAATCAGACAACCAATGATGATAAAAAGTTTGTTTTAGAGACTGTTTGTATTTTATTGAACATGTCCCGTTCCCGTCAATTTCAACTGCGGTAGCTCTTTCGCTCGAGCTACAATCAGATGAGCTATCTTCCATTTGACTGTAATTTGTTCCATATAATTCATAATATTCGAGACAGTCGAGACTTTCAGTTCCAAGATATTGGAGGTTATATGATTTATGATAGTAATGAAAATATCCAAAATATTATTTTCTTTTATCATGTAATGGCCTCAGCTACTAAGACTATAACGTATTGACTGCGCATTCAATTGTCAGCTTCGAGAGCTGTCTACTGCCTCTTCTTCCATATTTTTTTCAATATTGATTATTTGTAGAAAATTCCGCTAATGTTCAAATCCGCTACGCCACTACCGTCAAGTAAATTCCGCTACGGTTGTCAACTCTGGGCAACGGCAAAGTATACTAATTCAGTGTTGCCACAAGCTATCTTTTCATCGAGGTAGATTTCTGAAAGGAAGCGGGGTAGAACCGGGGTGGATCCACATTCACTTGATGACACCAATCCCAGTGATGCATTGACGTATACCTATGATTGTTGTTCTTTGTTCTGTGATCAATTTGACGATCGTAATCAAAAACATGTCACATGTCATCGTTATCAAATTTGGGATCAATGTGTTTCCAAACCATTCCTCGAGAATATTAGCTTCCATGGTCTTATGATAGTCAACATTGCAGTCCTCAAGTTTTTTTCCATATCACTTCAAAGAATTCGGAGCCATCCTTTTCTTCCTCCGCAATGAACAATGATTAGTCGCGATCCTTTGTTTGCAGGCTTGTTAGGTGTACACATTCTCGAACCATCAATCCACCCTTTCGTAACTGTGTCGTGAATGTTATACCAAGTTTCGTCCAAAAAGAAAATTGGCCGTTGTTCTTGTCTATATTTAGTTATTTGTTCTGAGTATTTGTTACGCAATTCCACTATTCTTCTGCTTTTCATAACTGTTTGACGTTTGTTTATTATTTTAAATCTAAATCCTAGTTTCTTTATCCAATTCTGAAGAGTTTTGTCACAGCAGCTCACGTTATGGCCGGAAGTATTATATTTCTTCCTTATAGTTTGTGTTGTAGGAATCTCATTGCTTTTGTAACAGTCGTATATTGTTTTTTCCATGATTTTATTTTGGTAATCCTGTATCACATCGCGTCTTGCGTTCATTAGGTTTGTTTTTGACTATTTTACGTACAAATCATCTAAAAGAACAACTGCTGCATTAGATTTTCAATTATTGGAACACACTTGCAGACCGGTTTCGGGCTGTTTGGCCACTCGTCAGTGCAAAGTAGTGTCTATCATCAACATAAAGTCGATTATTTCCGATAATTGAAAATCGAATCCCGTCAGAGTATCATTTCTCGAACTAAGCTGAATACTACAACAAACAACAGGTTGGTCGCCTGTCGGATATAATCCAACGCCCTTCGTGGTATTAGCCAGGGGAGTAGTTGTTTTCTGATAGGTGTCAGTCCATTAACCTAGTGTGTAGGGTGTTGAGACTGGCCTGAACGAATTGTTCTTTTGGATGATTTGATTTATAGCCTGTCTTCAAGTATGCCCACTGACTATACGTGAAAGATTTCTTTCCTTATACGAGGAATTGGGCAAATTTCGGATATGCAGTTGGTTACCTCGTTCACAGGCAGATGGGGCGATGACAAACCTGTTGTTTGTTGTAGTCTTCAGCTTAGTTCGAGGAATGATACTCTGACGGAATTCGATTTTCAATTATCAGAAATCATCGACTTTATGTTGATGATATACACTACCTTGCACTGACGAGTGGCCAAACAGCCCGAAACCGGTCTGCAAGTGTGTTCCAATAATTGAAAATCTATTGTGGCAGTTGTATCGCCAACAGCATATGCAGAAATAACTTCAGTGAAGAATCCTGCACTGACACCTGTCGGATATAATTCAACGCTGTTGGTGGTATTAGCCAGGGGAGTAGTTGTTTTCTGATAGGTGTCAGTCCAATAACCTACTGTGTAGGGAGTTGAGACTGGCCTGAACGAATTGTTCTTTTAGATGATTGATTTATAGCCTGTCTTCAAGTATGCCCACTGACTATAGAAAAAAATATTTTAAGTACAGTTGAGAGAGGAATTTCGGTCAAATCTGATGTTACTTGTAAAAGTTTCTTTCCCTCGAAACCAAACTTGAGATGTATATACATTGAAACATACTCTCTATGTCTTAATATTCAAATGCATCCAAATCTTATTCACTGGCATCTCTTTTTCGCATTGTTCACCATCGCTATTGGAATCACTACACTGGAAAAAGTCTGCGTTGTTATCACACTCGTACTATTAGTACTTGTCCAAGAACGCCACATTTTGAACAGATAACAAAAATTTGAAGTAATTATAACTGCACCAACATCGAATTTCAACACTCAAATCGCGATCAGTTCCTGAACCGAACACGACGGCGATAACCAAAGGCCGCTTTCCCAGATTTCTATTCGTCAGCGTAACATGACTTCAAATTTAATTTTATGACTCTTCAGCCAATCCCAAGACTCGGTTAGTAAAAATTATCCAGTACAAACCGCCAAGTCTCTACAGTCCACGTGGACTAGTTTGCTGCCGGTTCATTTCTATGCGTTGGTTATTTTGGCCTTCGAGAGTGCCGACAACTTTAAGAGTGCACAATATCGGTTACTTCGGCTATACATATACCTACATTTATATCACAGACTGAGATTGCACATAATATAAACATTTCCATATTTACGTTCTCAACTTTAACTAAAAATGTCGAATGTCATTTCACAAACATCAAATAACATTTCACACGCACAGAGCATGATCACGGCATCATTGGAAGAGCATTGTAGTGTAACTCAGTACTCAGTCACTGAATATCGGAACTATCGGTGTAAGAGTCTAACAGTAAGAAACAACCCAAGGAACCACCGCCAGCGGCGCCAGACACTCAGTCTACCCCAACTTTGCCACGGGTACTCGGCTCGTGTAACGCGGTAGATTCAAAATCAAACCTCAAATATTTGTTAATTTTTTCAATTTTCATTTTACATTCTTTTGTTTTATATCTGAGCGGGGTAGATTTATTTGAAGGGAGCGAGGGGGTGAATTTAAGTTCAGGAGGGGTAGAACTACCCCGTACGGGGTAGCTGTGGCAACAGTGTATACTAATAGCCGCCGGGGAGTTCCCGCACGACGTTAATGTGTTTCATCGCGTGCGGCGAGCTGCGCTGTTGCCAGCTCACTTGTTCGACCACCGACCGATTCGAGTGACCAGTCAGTGCACGCTTTTCAAATTTCAAAATTTATTGTTAAAATCGAGACCAAGCTTTTTCAGTTCACAGCGCATTTAGTCTTAGTGTTTTGTCTCGGTCTTGCTGAAATATGTAGAGTAGATACAATGATGCTACATTTATAGTGCATACGAAGATACGATTTCAGCGCGCCTCCCGTGATCCTCGCGCCCTAGGATTCAGTCTAATTAGTCTAAGGGTTGATCAAGCCCTGCATATTTGTTGATATTTCAATAACTGCAAGTCTTTGGGAAAATCCTAAATGTCGTGTGAGTGACCAGACAATGGTTAACAACTTGGTGAATTTGAACTATTTGGTTGAGTCAATTGAATATAATTAGTATTTTTTGATTGAATACATATATCAGATCAACAGAAGACTCAATCCCATATATTGGTTCAACCTAGCACCACTGATGAGATCTTGGCGGGCCAAAACAGCGCTGTTTGGTGTTGGATCACAAATACTTGTATTGTATTAGAATTTGGATAAACGTTGTACACAATTCTTTCAAACCAACGTGGTATCATGAGTCATTGAAGTTTACTTCGGCAGCACAATCATCAACAATCGTAGTGCTGATATTAATGATTTATATTTCAGAATGAGTTTTATGGAGTGATTGTAGGGGGTTCACCAGGACAAACGTTCAATGTGGCTTTCGACACTGCGTGGTCCGTATCCTGGGTTATGTCTAAACAATGCACAAAAGTACCAACTCCTGGTTGTGGTGAGTATTCTCCTAATTTTCTTCTAATAAAACTATTTTTCAGCACTAACATTTTTTTGGTACATTTTGATCAGGAAATAAAATTGAGAAATTACTTCTCGAAACTCGAATTCTGCTTTCTTTTATGTATTCTTTGCGAATTTTTGGGAATTTGAATTTCAGATAAAGAACCTAATGATAGAAAATTAGTCTGAAAATAGTAACGTTTCTGTTTTTCAATTCTCAGTCGAAAATTTTGCAATAGGTCCATTGGGCGAAGAAACGGAAGAAACAATAGGTCTCAATAATAAGGAAGGTTTATGAATTTTGGGCAAAGCACAAAATCTGGGAGCAATCTTGTCATAACTTTTTTATATGCTACAAATCAGAAATCAATTTGTTGGCTTCTTGTTGCGATGTGCAAACAGGGTTATTTCTCAGTATGGTGTAGTATGGTGGATTATTTAGATGTTCTTGACATTCATTCAAGAAATCCTTTATCAGTTGAATCTTTATGCAAATAATAAATTAATAATAGTAAATAATAACGCTCCCATCTTCATCGACGAGACCTATTGTTTCTTCCATTTCTTCTCCCAATGAACCAAATGCAAAATTTGTGACTGACACTTTGACTCTTTCTTATAATGCTGGAAAATTATTTTTTTATTAGAGACTCATTTCATTTCAGTTGGATTATTAACAATTTTCATTCACCGATCAATGTAAATAAAATAAAATTGTATGTTTTGATATTGTTTCTTTATTCACAAATCTTCTATTAGAATCAATAAATCAAAGCATCGAGTATCATTGGAGTGAAATTACACAATATACAACTTTAGACGACACATTTTTTTCTCATTTTACTCAAATTTGTTTTTGAATCAAATATTTTTGAGTTTAGCAATTGATATTATAAACAGATTTTTGGAACTCCCAGGTTCATCTCCAATTTCATTTAATTTTGTTTTAAATGACTTACTGGTCAAAGTTTCGAATGATTCAGAATATGATATTTCCCCAAATAAATCAAAATGATAACATTCTCAGGTCGTTCAAGTCTTACAATCCCCACCTACAATTCACGTGTGGGGAAGAGGTGGATGAACATCTGCCTTTCCTCAACATGAGAGTTATCAGATTTGGAGGTAGCGTTCTTAAGAACATGTGGTATAGAAAATCTATTTGTAGATAGTAATAAATTTATCAGGTCAATTTTCTCATAATTTTTTGAGAATGAAAACTTACTTAAATTTTGGTTCTCAAAGAAAGATTTACAAGTGATCTCATCCACCAAATTCCAATGTATATTCAAATATGACAAACTCAAATAATCAAATTTAAATTATAGATAGAGAATTGTTTCCTTAATTCAATAATTCTTTACCTTCAAACAATGATAAAGAGCATAATGAATTTATTCGATATTCCCCATTTCAGTATATTTCTAAACCTAATACCTAAATTACACAATATATTCCGAGTTATTACAAATATCAAAATTTGTAGGAAGTGTTGTTAAACTATTTCTCACTTTTATTCGCAAACTGAAACTTCTCTCACGTCTAAAGAAAAATATAACGTGATAAACAGTATTCCATGCACATCCTGTGATTTGGGTTACTTCTCGTAACCTCTCTTCACGAATTTTAATTTTCATTATTAGTTTTTCATCATTTGAAAGGTAAAATGTAATTATAACTTTTGCAAAAAATTTGTATTTCCGATTTTTTGTTTGAAGAATTCCGACTCTTACTAATGTGAACCATTTCAAGAAATCATCTTTTAGTTGTATTATGTTCTACAGATAGAATTTTGGTATTGTAAGTCCATTACGTGACACTCCGAAATTTCATGCTCTGCAAAACCACAAGACCTTTTATTCAGTCTGCCGTCACTTTTATGTAAGGTAATGCATGAAGAGAGGTTTCGAAACGTCTCATGAATATTCAACGAAAGTCATTTTTTGTGGAGGAAAAAATCAGTTTTTTTATCGACCTTTTTTGGGTAATTGTTACCTTCCACAATCTGAAAAATATAAGAATTATAATGGAGAACTTTATACAAGTGTAGAAGGGCAAACTTTTTAGTTTACCCCGATAAGTTACTGCGTAAAAATCAAAGTATTTTTCACAAAGAAAAATCTTCTATTCATCAGTAACTTGTCGTATTTAACAATTTTGCCTATCAAAAAAATTATTAAGAAATAATACTTATCTTTTACGTTTCGGAGGCCAAAATCTGCCTCCGTCTTCAGAAATGGATAAAAAATTCGAATATATTCGCAGTTATTCCTTTTTTGATAGCTTATTTATTTACTTCTTCGACAGATGTCAAAGAAGTTTTGAAATATGAAATTATGTCAATGTTGTTGCCATTTCGCCACTATCCAAAATTTTCTTCAAGATGGGTAGCCAAGTACGGTCTATTTCTAAGGAGCTATTCGAGATACATAAATGTAACCCAAACTTCAGAATGTGCATGGAATACTGTATATTTAGGTGTTTCTTTTCTTTCTTTGTTCGGTTACATTTTTAATAACTTTCAAACTATATGTGCAACTTGGCTCAAATCGAAAATTACTCTGGGGATGAAATTGAATCATAATTTTCTGGTGAAGGCGAACTCAAAATTTGTGGAATGGCACTTGGGAACTAAACCAAAGGGTTTTTCTAGTTCATAGTCTCGTCCATGCTAGTTCTTCATTTTACCAGGAAACATTCCTGTTCAATCTCTGGCTGACTCTGAGACAGAGTTCGTTTTACGTAAAAATAATAGCTGCCAGTAATCGGTCTGCTGCGCATTCATCGTATATCATGCAGCTCCATGCAGCTCCAAGATCCACTACGCTCGTCTGAAAAAGTTCAGCTTAAATGTTGATGTTATAGAAAGCCAAGCTTTCTAATGGCTAAAATACATTTCACATATAGTCAGTGGGCATACTTGATGATTGGCTATGAATCAAATCATCTAAAAGAACAATTATTCGTTCAGGCCATTCTCAACTCCCTATTCTGTAGGTTAATGGACTGACACCTATCACAAAACAACTACTCTCCTGGCTAATATCACGAAGGGCTTGGATTATATCCTACCTACATATAGGGAGTTGAGAGTGGTCTGAACGAATTGTTCCTATAGTTGATTTTAAAATACATTTGACAACGCCTGAAAATTGCTGAAATTCTTCAAGTAAATGATGCTCATCAAAAACAAAACATAGTTTATAGACAAAATATTTTATATTTTGAATACCCAATTCTGGCACACAGAAGCAGAAAATGCCCTTATAATGAAAAAACTAAATAGAAATAGAATAACTGGGCATGGAATCATATTATAAGAAATATAATATGTAGATTTGAAGTACATTTTCCATATATATGTATATATGGAAACTGTATATATAATGAATATATGTAAAGTAATACATCATACACCATACTCGTCTTTAAGAACGTCGTCACAATATAAATAAGTGGGAGGATTTACGTATTATAAAAGTTCAGCAAATGGTTCAGTCGTAAAAAGTGAACTTTTTTCTTTAGGCAATGAAAAGGACGGTAGGTTGAATGCTGTAGGTATATCTAATATATTGTAAGTTATAGTGAGACTTGTTAGTCATCGCCGCAGCCAGAAAGCTAAATTGCGTTCATTGAAGCTCGGCTTAAAGGCTCTAAGCCATCAAAGTAGAGGGGCTTAAGGCTAATTTTCATTACGATGCATATGAAATTCACGAATGAATCGATTCATATGAAATTTACGAATAAAGTTCAAAATATTTTACGGATGATCCAATCCAATCCAATTTATATCATAGGAAAACACTGTAAAATCAAGTTCAAAGAATGTGAGTATATTCGAAGAAATTGCGGGGATATTGTTAAAAATAAACGTTAACCTTTGACAGCGATTATGTTTTTGGTCAAGTGACGTCAAGCACTGTGATTGCTTTTTATTGTCCAGTGATTGAAGTGGATTTAACACATTTTGATCATAGAAAAAATTTAAAAAAGGGTTTTTGATGTGGATTCCAAATATGAAAATAAAGACAATCCCTATTCTCCTACGATATGAATAATTGTTACTTTTTTTTAGAGAACCACAATTTATATGACCATGGTCGATCTTCAAGTTGGAAGAAAAATGGCACACCTTATATTGCGAATGAAGGTGATTTCAACTTCACGGGATTTTATTCATATGACATCTTCAAAGTAAGTTTCTGATTTTCAGTACTGAGTTTAGTAGTACTAATCAATACACCCATCAGTATCGGAAATACATAAAATAATAGATCGAAGTGAACTGCTTTTTTTATTTAACTTAGAACAACATTGAACCTCAAACTTACACTATATAAACTTCTTATAGTATGGATATCTGAAGCCAGGAAGGCAGAGCAGGCTTTTTCTACTTCAATAATTATGAACATGAATTCAGACCTGACAATAAATGTACTTATGAGACCAAAGGGCTATCAATAGCTTTATACTGTCAGACATCTATTGCTGCTTGAACACCAAGGAAATCCAGTGGACATCTATTGTTGGACTAAGAAACGTCCAATGGATATTCCATGGATGTGACTTATTCCAAAAAAAATATTTCATTTATGTCATCACTGGAAAATGTCTGCATGAGTTGAAGTTAGGTTAGGCTAGGTCCAAAGTAGTGGGTCTATTCGCACTCCACCGCGACCCGCAAGGGTTCATTGTGGCTCACACCTATACACACTCGATCATCTTCTTAACGAACCGATTAGTTTGTATGGTGCTACTGTTTCATCATTTTCCAAACAGAGGCGACACACACTACCTTCCAACAGTCCGAGTCTCTGCATATGATGATTCAAATGACAGTGACCTGTAAAAAGGCCTGTTAGACATCGTCGTAGTTCATCCCTAGTCCAACAACTGTTTGGTATCAAACTTCGAAGGGTGAATAAACGCCTTGGAGTGAGCCAATCCTGGAAGATTCTGCCAGAAGACCAGAACTCTTCTTTCCAACCAGGTGTTCAATCTTTGTTTGGCAAAACCTAAAGCGATGCCAACGACAGGTTCTGGTACAATGAAGCTGGTCTGGATTCCTGGCCAGTATGGCCAGGAATCCAGACCAGAGACAATCTGTCAAGTCTTCCTATCGAGGAGAGTCGTTTTTGGCAATTTTCTACCAATTTAGACGTTGCTCGGTAGGAGCCAAGAGCTTCCAACGCAACTTGGCTGTCCGAGAATATTTTTAATGACTTGTGTATGAGGTTGGATTCTTCCAATCTCTCCGCAAACAATTCAATAGCGTAAATTTCCGCTTGATATGCAGTCGCATATGTTCCTAGGCAGGTTGATGTCTCTGTCCTGGGTCTGCGACTGAAAACACCTGCACCAGAACCGAAACGTGTTTTTGATCTATCTGTGAACCAACAACTATCTGCTCTTAATATTTGGTTCTACTGGAAGTCTTCTCTATTCGGGAACAGTACTTTATAAGGCAGTTCGAAGTTGACAGTTAGAGGCATAAAATCAGAGGTTATGTCCAGAATTCTGTGACCTCCGGTGTCAACTAACAGTCTGTTGCACTCTGCATTAAATTGATTTGTGCAATTGACAATGTGCACAAGTATATATGCAGTCCATCTAGCCTCTCTGTCCAGTTGAAGTTACAGATATTTTTTGTCACACCCCTGAGTTTTTTAATGAGTGGTACACTTAACAGATCAACAACGTTATTGAAACTCTCAAATATAACTTGTTTATCTTTGTTATTTTACTTGTTATTACGCTAAACCAAATTCTCTATGCAATCTACTCGTAATTTATTCGATAACTAAAAGCAAACGAATTTTCTATATTTCAATAATTTCTGGCTATTTTTAATTTTTGTCACTATTTCCGGTCTAGAATATTGTAATCAAGAGCCAATTAGTCAACAGAGTACGGCTCTATCTATGCATGAAAGGTTCATATGTATGTATATCATCAACTTCGCCTCCATTTGAAGATTAGATGGTAATGCACAATAATGGAAGTGTTATTGAAGTACTAAACTACTGTGTTGAATATAATTTTATTGAAATTACAAGTTGATGATTATCTCACTCATTCAAATGCGTAGGCGTAGGCGTAAAGCTTCTTTCAAAATTGAACGAAAATTGGAAGTGAAATCGAAATAATTTGAAGTATGTAGGACAATACCTGAAACTTCTAGATGTAAATTTAAACAGCATATACTTTGAATGAATATTATGCTTTTGACTTCCACAGATTGCCCATTCAAATATAACAAACTACCTGTTCGTGGAAATGGTTGGAGTTCCAGACTTCATGTCCTTACACAAATCGGACGGAATTTTTGGTTTAGGCATCAAAAATGATGATTATGAACCTTTCTTCTATGCCATGTACAGACAGAAAAAAATCAGGGATCCCATATTCTCCATATATTTGAACAGGTAAGCTGAAAAGGTACATGCAGAGGGTTTGGGAAGGCTCAAATATTATCAGTTGGTGCACGTTGGTTGATTTGCAGTTGATGTATTGTATTTGACCTTATTTGACATAACACTAGTGACCTGACCTGACTCTGATGCACCTCCATAGGAGCATCTTAAATCATTCGTTCCACAGTGGTTTTTCCCCGACAAAAGGGGGGCATGGACTTTTGAGAATCGAGTGTCTACCAGAATAGTACTTGATGGAGCCTGCAAATCCATCAGAATTTCAGATCCCATTCTTTGCATCGTTCGTGATTACGAGAGAGCAGGATCTGTCTTCAAGGCAGCTGCCCGAGTGGTTGATGAACGCGGTTTAGTTTTCATCACTGAACGGGGTGATTTCAACTCCATCATATATTTGGCACCCTTTCACCAAAAAACCCACACGAAAGCCGCAGACATAACTCTGCTTCTACGGCAATACAAGGAAAAGCTGATACATGGGGCCTTTTTATCAACTTTGAAGCTGTTTATCAGAGCACCCGACCTCAGGGCTAAAGTCAGAAACTGAGGGATTTAAAGATGGTGTCTTCAACACCTAAGTCTACCGTAGTAGATTAGGTGACAGTAGGTGCAGGGCCTGCCGCGTTCACTGTGCTTATTGGATGTTGTTCCCTATATAATCCCTGTTCCATTGACATGCTTGTTTCATGTATTGAATGTATTGATAAACATAATTAAACCTTCTTCAGTCACTATAAAAACGAATGAAGTTTGTGTTTTTTCTACGTACTACCATGTCTATGCTGACATATCCTGCAATAAAATCTTATATTTGAAACCTGATTTAGACTTCTTAGACCTTTGTCTTTGTCTCAATTTCAGTGTATTGGCCAACAACTCAAAATACCGATTGTTGATAGCTGATGGTTGAAAAAATATTATTTCTAGGATATTTGGTTTATTATTTCTCCAAATGAGTCTATGAGAAGCCAAATTTGTTAAAATCGTACGCAAATCATACAATTACATTCTAATTGATTACACTGTATATCACATGTTACTAATCTTAATTCTTAGCATTAGAATTATATTGTGACACACAATCAATAAAATGAATGATACATGATCTGGTCGACTGTGAAACCAAATCTAATCAAATTTAGTTCTTTAAGCCACGGCATTGAAATGAAACTTTAAAAATCAGATATTCTGAAGATACTTGACATTCACAGAATACTGGCTGGTGAATTGAATAAGGGTAGAAATCAAAATCTGACAGGGCTCCAAATTTGTCATTTAATCATGTGTAAAACAAACTGTAATAACTAAATAATGAACGTAGGTAAAAGTACGCTTTCATTTATCTAAGGATAGTCCAGGTAAAAATATCAGGAAAAGTATTACCTACTTACAGGATTCATGTCATAGAAAAAAATAATTATTAGGAATGGTGTTAAAAATTACCTCACCAGAGTATACTCAGTTCAGGTTTACATTATGAATGGATCAACTCAAAATTCAATAATTGTATGTTAATGAAACAGTATTTCTAATGCAAAAAGTAGTTATTTTCGGAAAAATGAGTCAAGTGTAAGTGATATTTGCCTGTTACTTTCTCGTCGAGCTGTAGCTGCAGTTTTTTTCGACCAGGAACGGGACAGACTTGGAGCACCTACTTTTCTGATTTTCAAAATGGACATAGACTATCTTGTGGACGTGGACAATAACATTTATCGAACTGGACGAATGAAAAACCCACCATTCGGTAAATAAACTGAAAATCTATTTCGTAAGACAATCAGGAATATAAGCCCTTTTTCTTCCCTCTTTAATGATTCCAAACAAGTTCTGTAGAAGCTCTTCTGCAGAAAAATTATTGTAAAAAGTCTCCGATACTAAAACCCTTAAAAAACAACGTCTTCAAGGAAATGGCGTCGCTCGTTCTGGAAAAGTGGTTGTGACCCAGTAGAATCCTCAGGAAGTGCAACCTTTTATGGAACTCTCAAAATCTATAGGTATATGAAACTATATCCGAAACAATATCGTTCAAATTCTTGAAATTGGACCACACGGCTCACCACTAAACAAATCCCTTCTCGAGATTCTCCCTCATCACTCTCCTTTCCCAAATGGCACCTCTCCTTGCCGTTCTCATGATCGAGAATCACCTACCGCGCAAGTCTATTCTGAGGAATTCACCCAAATAATTTTGGTAACACCTCATAATAGAAAATCTACCTCGAAGGGATCCGAATGAATCGGTTCTATTGGAAAGAAAAACTTATCAATCTACAATCTGTACCAGAAACTAATTATCATATGTGTATTGAGAAGTGAAAATCTTAGCGAGGCAAAAGGTGTAAATTGGATTGCCTACTCCTCAGGAAACTTTCTTTAAAATCAATTAGGATTACCTTCAGTGAAATAAAAATTAAATGAAAAGTACAGTATGTTTTTATAAACGCTACAATGTTTTCTTACGGTATTGAACGAAGTGATAACAACCTCACCGAGTTGTAACCCGTCCAGCAAAACATCCATATAAAAGCCGAAGAGATCACTTCATTCCTACGGCAACACAAGGATTAGCCAATGCATGGGGGTCTTCTTCAACAGCATTGATGACCTCGGCATATCAATGTGCCTAACTTTCGCTTTCCTCAGGTCGAGTGAGCTGAAGTGGGTTCATCATGATCTGCCAGGCCATCGACATAACCTGACCCTAAGAGTGCTTTATTGCCACCTGCGGCACTTTCACGGTATTGGCGAGACACCGGTGTTCCCTACGCTCCGGGGCATATTGAATCCGCTGTGGGGAACGACCAGTGTCGAATTTTCTGGAACTATTGATTCTTCACCCTCAGGCTCATACAAGCTAATAAGACTGTTGCAGTTCTCGATAATCAGAGCAAAACGATATTTGTCGTGCAGTTTTCAGCTCCTGGCGAGACGAATATCATCAGAAAAGAGGAGGAAAAACGGAGAAAATATCGAGATTTCCTTTTCGAACTCCACAGACTCTATCCAGTCCACTCTCTGTCGAGATGGTTTTGATTATTGGAATTCTCGGTGTAATGTTGCCCTCTTTACTCTCGAATCTCAAGATGATGCCGACTTGCTGCATTGAGGCAGAAATGTTAGCCGGACAAATGCAGAAAGTTGTCATTCTTGGTTCACTGCGCTTGCTCAGGGCACATGATTCTCGGACCCAATGATTACTTACTCCACGATGTTTGGAGTGGTCATTGGTTGATGATGCTGATAATGCTGGGGCTTCGGGAAGAAGGCTCGACCAGCGTAACCTTAGGGAAAACAATAATAATGAATAATGATAATTATTATAACAATAATCATTCTCATGCTGCATTTCACATAATAAAGGAAAAATACCACAATTTCCTACATGATTTCCCTAAATTCTCTAAAGTACATTAAACGACGGTACTGTCATCATATGTATCATTTTATTGTAATTGTTGTGAATGTTTTTTGAATTCTCTTCGAAACTATTGTAATTCATTTTTTTTATAGTATTCCGGTATAGAATTATAAATTTTAAAAATTTGAAAAGTGAAACTACGTCTGAAAAATTCTAATCTGAAACTTGGTAGTGTCAGTAATCCCTTATTCCTCACATTGAGGTTATGCACATCGGCCCTATAAGTAATTTTCCTGTTCAGGTAATTAAGCGTTTTGCTAATAATAATAAGTTTATAAAAAAATGTGATAGCATGTGAAATTTGCTAGTTCTGCACTCTTTGAATTTTTAAATTATATTGGTTGGTTAGACATGAATTTTATACCACATTAGCATAGGTGAAATTCGATTGTACGAGAGCCTTTAGCCTCAATGGATGGAAATTCCTCTAACTATAAATACTTTTCTAAAAGAAATATGACCGCTGCAAGAGTTTATCAACATGCCGTTCAAATTTCAATTCAACATCAAGTGATTTGACGCTGTTTCAATAAAAGCTTGCAGATCCCGATTTATGTGGGTGCATGCATTTGTACCCTAGATGGAGGAAAACTGTGAAAAAGCTAAATGTCGTTAGCCTCAAGGTTAATTCAACAAGCGAATTCAACATGTTTGAAGATTTCTCATCAAAAGGGATGTATAAATAGTATACACTAGGGATTCGGAAATAGAGCCTTGTGGTACAACAGATTGAAGACTGAGATTTTGGAATTCATAACCATCTATGCTCACTTTTTGATTTTTTAAGACAGATTCGAATAAAAAAATATCATAACTGAAAGACCTAGGTATATATTTTAAATAATCCCAACAACAAATGAAAATAATCGTGTCAAAGGCCCGGCGAAATTCAATAAGATCAAGATCGTGCAATTTTGCTGGTCTGTTGCCCTACGTACATCATATGTGATATATAATAGCGCAGTTGTACAACTTAAACCTTTACGAAATCCGATTGTATATCTGGTAATGGAGAAAATACTTCGACATATGCTTTGAGTTTCAATCGCTCTTCCAATATTTTCGATAAAGTAAGTGCTGTACTTATCGCTCGAAGGTCTTTGTATTCAGAGGGGTTCCGTTATTTGGCAATACTTTCACAACTGCATTTGTCCGCGATGAGAAAAACATCTGTTCATGTTCTTGATACAAAAGTTCACAATGCGAGTGATGTAGGGACAACAAACACAATTTAATATATCTGTTATTTAAACCATCACAACCGGTCTATCAGTTTGTATTCAGTATAAACCGAGTATTGGGAAAAACACACCCCTTTCAATTCAGAACAAGTATTATTCTTGTGATGCGTTTTTGCCAAAGGNTTTGAATCTGCTTTGAGTAGTCAATACTTGTGCGAGCTAAGGATCACAAGGTCTTACCTTCCAAGCAAGAACCGCCATAATTGTTAAAATGTATCGTACCTCGAATTACAAATCAGAATCATTGCTGATGTGAAAGAAATTTTATATTCCAGTTGAAATGCTTCTAATATGTTCGTACTTTGCTGCTTCGTTGAAGTGTATAGTCACAATTAATGATCTTTATTTTGAACTGTGTGCAATGCTTTCACATCCCGATTAAAATTCTGATCGGGAGCATTATAATATTATTGTTATCATTATTGATAATAGTTGATTGGTTCGGCAGAAAAGTTCAATAGATATTCAGTATAGTCTACTTTATAATGAACGACATAATGTTAACACTGATATTTCCTTGTTTTGGTGGTGCTTCACCATATGCAGAACGACTCCCTGAATCACCTACATTGTTCTGTATGATTTCAATGTTTCATTTTTATAATATCTGTTGTTGAAATGAATTAGTTGATTGGAATTATTTTCTCGTATTTTAGTATATGCGTATGATTGGTAGATGTCGACTGTCGATGTCACATTGTGTGCAAGGTGTGATAAAAAGTATATTGGCCAAACCAAAAGGAAATTGAAAGACAGAATTTGCTCTCATAAAAGCTATATTAGAAATTTTAAAAAACCTGTGCTCTAGCTCATCATACGATTGAACTAGACTACAGACCTGATTATGTTAATGTGACTATTTTAAGAACATGAACCCAATTCAAAAACGAGAACTTTCATCGAAATGACAAACATTTTTAAAGAACCGAATTGAATTAATTACAGAACTGACATAAATCATCTTAGCGTAATTTATTCATATCTACTAAGTCGCCCTCTTCAAGGGACTTCTAACAACTGATATAATCTTTCCACAGATTAATATAATATTGGCGACCCTGGATAGTTGGTGTTTTCATTATTTTTTATCTCCATTGTATATTGACAATAAGGTCAAAAAAATCACTGTCAATAATTGCATTACTGTCAAAATCACATCCATTCATTTGATTCAAAAATTAAAAAAACTGTCACTTCCTCGATGACTCCATCATAGACCATGATTTAATAAATACTGGGTTTTTCAAATAAGCTAACCAATCATTACATAATGTAAAGTTTGTATATTCATGTTGTTATTTACTAATAGTGTTTGTCGTTTGGGATAACAGAAAAAAGAATTCACTTATTTTACCATCCCCTTGTTGACTGCATACCCGAAAATTATAACAAGATTCTTCTTTAACTTAGACAGTCGTCGAACCTTCACACAACTTGTATATATATGGGTTTCTATCAAGACATCAATATTCGATATGGTTACACCACAATGAATAAACCCAAAAGAATGGCCAACATCGATGTCGAATTTGCTGCACAACAAAAAAGATGCACTTTCCTTATCAATGGCAGGAAGAACAATATCATCCCACAACACATCACTCATGGTATGTAAAACGTAGTAGACCTGACCGCAGCAGCTGTTGGAATAAGGACCCTTTTCCATACTGCAATATTAGGGTAAGGGAAAATCTATTGAATTTAGAAATTAAATTTACACATACTATTCGTAATTTGGAAAAAATGTTGATTAGTACGAAATCTAACATTAACAATCTCATCCTATATGACATAGCTGTAGACTTTAATTTCTTACAACCGACAATTTTTCCAAATTAAGACGAAAAATTTCCTCAAATTCAGTAAACTCAAACAAAATTGTAGCAAAATGAAAACACCAACTAGTTGGACTGAAAATTCATTATATACAATCATTCCTTCCGAATTCTCAAATTTTCTGGCTCTGGGACCAAAGTTCAGCATTGAACCAAAAAACCAAGATATCAATATTCCAAAAATTTTAGCAGACATTGATCAAATTTTACAACATGTTCCAATTAATGAAAGAAATATTTTCTCAACACAAACAATCAACATCANTATCCAATACGAACCGTCGATCCTACAGTCCACGTACTAGTTTGCTGCGGGCTCATTTCTTTGTATTGGTTTTTTTAGCCTTTGAGAGAACCGCCGCCAACTTTAAGAGTACACACTATCGTTTACTTCGACTGTACTGTCAAAGACTAACTGACTGTTTCAACTATATTCTTGTTCTTGTCTATTTTCATAACGAACCATAAAGCTTTGTTCTCAACATTGTAATGATAATAATAGTAATATGTTTAAAATATGTTTAAAAATTTAAAATATGTTTTTGCGTTAACCAGCTATCGCACCCCTACGAACGATAACCCTCAGAAGTCGAAACTTGTGCGAGCCGAGGACTAACGAGGTCTTACCTTTTAACGTGTGAATCCTAACACGGGTTGGACGATTTCGAGTGAAAATCGAGCGTTCTGCCTGCGGCTTGAACCATCGACTCACACATCGGCCGATTGACTGAGTGAACAAAGCACCAACGTCGAAGCGTCCGGCTACCGACGACTTTATTGCTTTTCACTCAACCTTAAGTATATCGCTAGGTGTATTGAACTTAATGATATAAAAGAATGAAAGTTAAACAATTACAGCTATTTCTAATCTGATTTACATCATGCATCAGGATTGCATTGAAAACGAGTGTTTCTTATAGGCTTTCTTGACCTGATTATATATTGAACTTATTTGATGAGTATAACTACGCCTGAATATTTCTAATCTGAAGATTGGCGGTGAAAGGGTTCATTTATATCCAGGGCCGTAGCTAAAAGGAAAATCAGAGAATTATTCTACTTTGGACCAAGGTCCTTGGTCTTCCACCATATCCACCATGTATAGGAATATTTAATACAAATGAAAGGAAACAACACTCATATAATATTGTGCTTATTGTTTTCTACTATTTTTTCTATCTTCACGGCCCGAAATTTCCCAACTTTTCCAAGTCGAATAAACAGCAAGAAGGTGGGAATTTTCTAAAATTGTCACTTCAAAATTTGTTTACTGTTCAATTCCCAACTTTTTCCCAAGTTGAAAAAGCAGGGGGGGAAGGCTCCCCCCATCTCTCCCCATGGCGACGGCCCTGTTTATACCGGATATTTAGATTATGTACGTCGGATCGATTGATGATTTTTCTGTGCAAATATGAGCGTATTTTACTGATAATAATGTTTTGAAAACGAACAGTACTATGTAATCTCTTTCTGTTGCTCATATTTAGCCAACCATTATATTTCAATTTGTATGACATATGTTCTCTTCTGAGGATACTAAATATTAATCGTAAGCATGAGTTTTGTACTTTTTGTATTTTTATTTGATATTGGCTGGATAAGAATGGACCATCTGCATAATTAAATATGGACAGCATCAATGACTCACACCAATTAGATTTTATTTGAATATGCAGGAAATATGTATTGCCATATATAGTTTCAGGAATGAAGTATGCACGTTAAATAAGCTGATTTGTGTATTTTTCAAATTTCAAATTGGAGTCCAATATTATTCTTAAACTTTTGGCTTCACTTACGTTTTGAATTACTTCATTTTTCATTACACTATCAGAAATCTCATCTCGTTTGTTTTTGTTGCCAAAATGAATAATATTAGATTTACTGCAATTAATACTAATGAACCTATCAAGTTCCTCATTTATAAGGTAACATGACTTCACTACCGTACTGAGGTGAAAACTATAATAAATTTGGGTGTCATCTCATGCAAGTCATGCAAGTGTACATTACAAATCTGAAGAGTTTTCACTAGGCAGGAAGTATATATAGCAAAAAGCAATGGCACCCCTAATTCGTTGCATCTTGGGTAGTTGCCCTTGTTGCCATGCTCTGGGCCCGGTGCTCCTCCTGTGTTATTTTTAAAATTTTCATTTGAGGGGATTTACCTCCTGGTGTTTGTAACTGAAGAAAATAGTTCGTTTTTTGTGACGTTTGAAGATCGATAGACGCAACTTCTAGCGATTCCTTTTGTGATTCTGGTTTCTGGAAGTGTAAGAATATATTGCTATTCATTTGCAGATCAAAGAGTGTAAACTCTGCAGATTTTAAAGTCTGACGGTTCGTCTAAGACTGCGGTAGACATTATCAAAGGCAATGCGGTTTCGAACGAATTGTTTCAGTTGTTTTCAGAGCAGAATTGGTTTGAATACGAGAGCAATCAAGTACAGGTGGTCAGATTTTATTTACGTTAATATCCTCTGCCTTTTGGTTGAAATTTTTTCAGTGTTTCTGAATGTCTATCGTTTCTTCGTATGATCTTTGATAGTAACTATCGATATGTCCAAGGTGATAATTTCTCTTGTGTTCAGAGAGCCGCGTATTTACATTTCTCTTTCCTGATCTGTTAGGAGCGCCACCGGCAAGTTTAGAGAGTAAAATTGGAAAATAAAATTTTCTGTTTCAGAATTGTAGTTGTTCCCGATCATCCACCTCATAACGAAAACGTTACCTTATGTCCAAATGGATGTTCTGCTATATCTAACACGGGGTCGAATGAAATCGTTGGACCTCCAGCCGATATTGATCAGATACATGATCTCATAGATGCTCAACTTCACAATGGGAGCTGGGTGGTGAGTTTTTAAATATAGTATCATTAATCATATTTATTCAGCGTGATATATATAAAATGATCCCTTGTTTGTATATCACTTCATCAAAAAGTAAATTTTTGAGTAGTACAAGAGAAATTTTCAAATATTTATTTTTTGGTAATTTCTGATCTGTCGAAAACACTTTTTCCAGATTAGAACAAAAATTCTTAGTCTAGAAGCGCGTTTCGCTAAGCCAAGTTAGCTCAAACACCAAAGAAGACTCAGGGTTGGGAGTGTACCCCAGATCACTAAGCCTAAGGATTAAGTGGGGAATGGGAAAAATACCAGCGTGTTTCAAACAGAAGTGGCTGGTATCTCAATCGCCACAAAAAAAATAACCAGAAAAAGAATGTCTGGCAGAAACATAACAATCTGCACTGATAGCAGACAAACCCTATTAGCCTTAAAGAGACAACGTGTTACCTCAGGGCTAGTACTAGAGTGCCACCAAGATTTAGTCAAAGCCACGGTAGATAGTAACATCATCCTGAGGTGGATTAAAGGGAACGACAGGAACTGAGATGATCGCATTGCCGACTCTTTAGCCAAGGAAGCGGCTGGACTAAGAATTTTAGGGCCCAGTGGCACCTACGGCCTGATGACTTCGACAATTGCGGAACTAGCCAAACGTCACACCCAGGGGCGACCGTGGGATGCTGGCGATGATGACCGGGAAAAATCTACGCGTAACAGTAGGATTTCTGACTGGCCACTGTCAACTAAAGAAACACCTCCACAATATGGGGCTAGTGGATACACCTCTATGCAGGATGTGTGAACAGTAAGGTGAAACTGTTAGGCATGTCTTATGCAAGTGTCCGGAGTTATCGTCCATAAGAGAGTGTGTGTTTGGCGAGTCTTGGCCTACACCTGCCGTTATAAAGGATATGTCTTCCAGACATATCCTTTAGAGAACAAGATGGACGATGACCTAAGAGGACAACTCCTTGTGAGGATGTACAATGAGTCACATGTGGCCTTAAGTGCTGTGGGCCTACACTCACCTCCCTACTCTACAGATACAGACAGCCAAGTTAGCATTATCAGGAGATAACTTAGAGCTTTTGTATGCATTTGAGCGAACCATGTCGAGAGACAGTATATTTGTTCTGGTGTGGAAAAAGCGTTTTCGATAGATTGATTTTATGCGATATGTTCCAATTTCTAGTGCCACTTTCGATCTGAACCTTCACTTCGTGGTTTCTTCAACATTTCTTATATTAAGATCTATTTTGTCGCATATTTTATTGATACAGTATTTTATTTCATAATCATTTGGTGGGAAGGTTTAACAATTTTTTTCTCGAATCTTCTTGAAATATTGGTATAACTAAAAAACTGTTGCCAAAAGTGCTTTCTTTCTGAAGGAGTTACTGGGAGAAATGGTGTTTAGAGTGGAAATTAATGTTTTAGGGGCTTCGAACGATATAGGGTATGAAGGGGTAATAGGGATCACTTAGGTCATCATTGAAATAAATAAATGAAATTTTTATTGCAACCACCTCATAACATAATCTACTTAATTGGCTATCATTTGAGATCAGTAATCGTCACTTTAATAATCATCTTTGAGAAATATAGAAGTAAAAAAATAAACTATTTTCATTTTGGTGAGGGGAATTGTGGTCACCTCGTGGGCAATGAGGATCATACAAAAATCTAACATAAATTGCAAACATAACCCTTGGCCGACTCCCACCCCGTACAATCTGCGTGAGCCCATAAACCACATAAGGTACACCTGTACTAAACCAAATTGTTTCGGCCAAATTTGTTACAGATTGAGCACGTATTCCCTGGGTCGTCAGCATCATCTAGCTCATCGTTTCAGCCACGTCTGAAACAGAGGTGTCATTTAATTTCTGGAGAACCTTCTTCTTTACTCTTTCGGTTACCTTCTTTGGCAATCCAGTCTTCTTTTCTTGACCCTTGCCCTTAGTTATATTTTTTCCTTTTCCGTTATCCTTCGCTAGGCAGACATTTTTACTTTTCTTGTACTACTTACCATATTATATCAATGTTACCGTTAGGAATAGTATGAAGAGAGATAATTAGACTTGGAAAACAAAAAGAAGGAAAGAATGAAAGGTTTTGGCTTCCTTCTTCTCCTCCGTGATACAGAAAATGTGGGAATCCTCCAAAGGAAGGGTAAAAAGCATTTCATTTCAAAATAAACTCCTTAAAAAGATATGGAGATCATGCAAAGAAACAACTTTAGTAACTTTCAGACACTCTCGAAACAAATACTTTCAAATAAATATCGAAATATCCTGTTGACAACAGGATGACCAGTTCAGTTTGAGGAGTGCCAGATGATGACAGTACTACCAACTGTCGAAAGCGCTCGCAGATAATTATAGAACAGGATTCTTGATTGAAAAATTATGGGTTTCTATTGGTTGATAATATGTATCGTTATGAAAAATCTGTATCATAATGGATATCATTATGAAACGGATTATGGTCATATAAGTGTATTGTTAGAGTACGGGTTTAGAAAAAATAACTTATATGGCTACAGTACATGAGTTTATTGTTTTTTCTAAACTATTCTGAGTGACATTTCTTATTTCTCTGCTAGTTTTGGATCTAGAAATCTAGAAGAAAGTGTTGCATGTGCATAGCATATGTTCAGTTACGAAATTATTAGGTAAACCGGCTTTCTCAACAATACTTTTTGAATTTACTGTTTGGAACCTTTGGTGTCGTAATTAATATTACTGGAGTTTTTTCCCAACACCAAACCGTTATTTCAACACCTCGACACGTGTTTCGATCACCAAGTGATCATCTTCAAGAGGAAAATCAAAACTATTCCTCTTGACGATGATCACTTGGTGATCGAAACACGTTTCGAGGGTTGAGGTGATTGTTGGGAAAAAACTCCAGTAATATTTATTATGACGAGATGATTTGTTGATTTATCCAACCTAGACGAAAGTGAGCACTTTGTATTTTTTTTGTGATTTCTTCATTCACAGTAAAATCATTACATCATCATGATGCATGCGAAGTTTGAGACATCACTAAAATTTTGAATATTTCAGGTGAATTGCGACACAGTTAATAAATTACCGAAGATTGATTTTGTTTTGGGAGGCCAGTACTTTCGGCTCGGAGGGCCGAACTATATAATAAAGGTAAGGTTTTTGTCTATCCAATTTTCAGACTTTTCAAATCATCCAGAAGTTTAAGTATATCTTGTACCAGTATCAATAATTTCTACTTGAATTGAGCGGATAATTCTGGTGGATTGCTTCAACCAATAGAGATGTGCCATGATGTCCATCGGATCAATCGATGGACTCACTGATGACTTTAAGAACTTGCCTATTCTATAGCATATTGAGCAAGGTTGTTTCAAAAGTTTTGTCCGTTTTTATGCGTCTACTTTGAACTGTAATATCTCAATGAATATTCATTCAATTTAATGAAAATGAACGTAATTTGAATCAGTGCAGTTTTGCCAAAACAATCCGATTAGTTCCGAGAGGTCTGAGGAGTATAGGAGTATAGTGGGTGTGGCAGAACTTTGACACTCATTTCGTTTAGTTTTCGGACGGCGTCATGGAGTAGGATTAGACCTCTTCTATTGATTTCCTCACAATAGAACTTTGCTGTGAAGGTTTGGCCCGGTTGCAGAAAGTTATAGTGAATCACACCAGCTGCTGACCACCATACAGTAACCATAGTCTTTTTTTGTGGGTTTTCACTTTTGGAAAGTGCCTGGTTGGCTCATCGGTGTCCAACCATTGTCCTGAACGTCTCCTGTTGTCGGAGTGGATCCACCTTTCATCATACGTGACGATTCGATCCAAAACAAGTATAATTTTGGTTTCGCGAAAGCAGAGAAGAACAAATCTCGAGCTTTTTAACATTCCCAATACGTTTTGAACTATACAAAACCGCATGGGAGCTGACGCCCAGTTCTTCCGCCAGCACACGCAGCGTTTGTGATAGGTCAGTCTCTACAGGGATCTCAAATCCTGATCCTGGATTACTGTAAGTCAACCACATCGTAGCTCATCTTCGAGGCTAAAACCTTCGGAACGAAATTTGACGAACTACCGTCAAGCAGTGCGTTCATTAACAATTTCATTGCCAAATGCCTGTTTGATTTTTCTGGCTGTTTTGACAACACTTTATTGGTTCAAGAATTCGTAGAGAAAAACTGGCCAAAAATTGCTTAACGACATCATTTAGTTATAAACTGAAAAGAGGCAACAGCTTCAATGTATACAGGCTGTAACTGAATAAGTGTAAAACATTTAAGGAGGTGATTCCTCATCGAAAAAAAGATAGGATATTTCATATAAAGAAATTTCATTGGAGCATCCCTTGTTAAGATACACCCCCTTAAAGGGGTACATTAAATTTGTATAACAATTTTTTTCACAAGCACTAAAAAAGTTACAATATTGAAATTACCATGACGTTTTCTACTACCAAATAGACACTTAGCCAGTTATTTATTTGGTTTACCCCATGGTTGTAAGGGGTGGAAAACGCAATGAAATTTCTTTATATGAAATATCCTATCTTTTTTTTGATGAGGAATCACCCCCTTGAATGTTTTACACTAATTCACTTACATCCTGTAGAGTACAAAATGCTCTATTGATGATCAGTAAATACTATGACACAGTTAGGGAATGCAATCCTGATCTCGCGGAATTCCGATCTCTTCGATAATATGACGAGATCCCGTTCGAAATTGACGGGTGTACAATTAGGTATAACAGACGTCATTTATAAGAAGAATGTAGAATCTAATGATGAGGAAGAATTTGAAGACCCTGAACTGAACACAAATCGCAGTGCGGAGGAGGAAGAAGTTTCGGACGACAATCCGGATAATTATGATGGTTTATACTTTTCCTTACCTGACAAGTTGATCTAGGTAAAGAATACTAAATGATTATATCGAAACTAAGAAAATGCGTCAGACTTTTTAGGAATTATCCTATCAAGAATGATATGCTTCAGAATTATATTCAGCAAGAGTTTGGCAAAACAATTCAGCTGGTTCTTGACTGCAAGTTAGTCCAGCAGTCTAGTGAAATTGACTGTTGAGATACTGTGCCGTCGAGATACTGATTTAGTTACAGTTATACGTTGTGTTTCATGATTCGAAAGCTACAAGACCTAAAAACTCCTCTCTCAGAAAAGTTGGTATCTTCGATGAACAATTGTATCTCCGAGCGTCGCATAAGCGCAACTGCTGCGCTGTTATATTTGAAAAATCCGAATAAATTATCAAGATGATTTGGAGCACTGGAAATGTAACGAGACTTTCCAATTGCCAAGTAAATATATCGTAAGGAAATAAATTAAAAATATAATCACATGTGGTTATATCGTGAAGAACCAAACCAAGTAGAGATTAATACGACAGTATTGAACGAAGATGACTATGCACTTTCTATGATTGCAGAGGATTTAAATTTAAGTGCTACTGCTACACAAACTAATACTTCACTTCAAGAGGAATTAGAAGAAACTCTGCGAGTGTCTCAAAGTTCTTTTACACGTGTATCCAAATCCACAGGCTTAGATAAATTAGAGTCAGTAATAAAAAAAAATTGATTCATTTGAGTGTGGAGGAACAAAGGGGAGATTTTTGCAGTTTGCATATAATTGCTTAGTCATGCTGCTACCTACCAGTGTTGAGTCGGAGAGGGCATTTTCAGCAGCTGGCTACATTGCAACGGATATTAAATGCCGGGTAAAAGATAGTACTCTTGATACTAGCTATACTAACCCTACTTTTGTTTTGATTTTGTTTTTGTTAGTAAATTATTTATTTAGTTAGTAATATTGAAGGATAAAGGCTTTTGTTTTTTTCAAATAATATTTTGTTTAATTAACCTCGCTGTCACAAACAAGCAGTTTTCATCATATTCAGTAATGTGATAATTTTTTTTACTAGACGAGATCCCGCAAATTTCGGGATACCGCGGGATTGACATTTCTAATCTCGAGGGATCTCGACTTTACGATCACGAGTCGGGATTGCATTCCCTAGACATAGTAGAATAAATATTTATTGAGATATTATTTTAAAACGGAAAAACGTTTGAAACAACCTAATAATGAGCCGTTTAGTCCAACCAACATCACATTTGATTTTACGTTTAGTTTTTAAAAATTCGATACAACATATTGCTGTAATTTTCATTGTGAAATACCGATAAATCTAGACTCATCGACTTTTTGAGAAGCGGAGAATTTGCCATGACACTACGAGTTTGCAAGTAATAATCATAGTACAATTTGTTAACCAGCGAAACCATAGCTTCGATTATTTGATTTCCCTAAAAATATAGTGATATGTTCAATTGAATATTTCTTCTGCAGATAAATTCAGGACCTTATACGATGTGCGTTTCGGCGTTCAGTTCGTACCAAACCGATAAAGATATGTGGATTCTAGGAGGAGCATTTTTGTCACAGTACTACAGCATTTACAATATCGAAGACAAAACCATCGGTTTCGTTAGAGTCCCTTAAGATTAGGACAGTAATAAGGTTCATGAATTTTATATCTGAATTTACTTAAGTACTTATTATAATATTTCCTCAATTAAAATTATGAAACAAATTTGAATATTTCATTATTTCAACATCCATCCAATATATTTTACCCATGAAACATTATTAGTGAGAAAATAGGTTGAATATCAGGGAGCGATACTAAATCAAATGCTGATCTGGTATAGTTCAAGTAAACCATATAGTGCAACCGACCTTCCAACAGCTTAGGGAGGTAACTATTTTCGTTATTCAATAACCATTTCTGATTATATAAGAATCACAATAACTCCCTTGTCCCCAAGTCTCGTTAATACTTCTATGTGTGCCGTGTTCCACTTTAAGTTCATACTGGTCACTCTGTTGTTCGGGGCACATATTTATGTTGTTGTAGCAGGTATCTGGTTTGCCTGACTGGGTACCTGAGTTATTTTCAGGTATCGTGCGTGAAATCAATGTCCTCCATGTTTTTCAATTTCGATTGCTTCCCGAACTATCCTGGCCTTCTCCGCAGCAATGGTCTTGGTGTTTTCGAAGCTTATTATGTGGCCTGTCTCCAGGTGGTGTTTGAAGAGAGATGATGCTGGATCTGATTTGCGAACAGCTAGTTCATGTTCATAGGCTCTGTTGGAAATTCTTCTATTGGTCTAGCCGATGTGAATTCTGGGGTAGTTTGAACATGGTATTTCGTATATGCCCTGTGCTTCATTGGGTATAGTGTTCTTGGGTGTTCTTAACATAGTGGAGATTTGGTTGTTGGCTGTGAATACTGTCTTTACGTTATGTTTCTTCATAGATGTAGGGGAGAAAAGCTTTTATCTGGTTGGTCTGTTCCTCGGGTAACTCGTGGGGTTTGTGTTTGCTGTCGTTGGATCGATCTTTGTATTTGGGAGACGGGATAGTCGTTTTGGTGAAGGGCGGCTGTGAGTTCGTATAGTTCTCTGGATCTCTTGTGGTTGTCAGTGAGTCAGTGAGAATTGGAGCATTTCTCTTTAGGGTAGCTGCCCGAGCAGCTGATGAACTTGGTATAGTTTTCGACACTGAACGAGGGGACCACAACTCTGTCACCGAGTCGGAACCCGTTTAGCAAAAAGCTCAGATAAAAGCCGCAGAGATCGCCTTACTTCTGCGGAAACTCAAGGATANTAATATACAGGCCGCTCCAACGAAAACTTGACCTTTCCTGTAAGTCAGAAACGGACATGTAATTGAAAATTTCAAAGAAAACTCTATTTTTTAGTGTATTGGAAAGCTCTTGTTTCTCTATTAACTCTGTAATTTTTTTCGATATCAGTTCATTCATTATTGAGAAATTGAATGTTGAACGTTTTATTTAAGAAAAAACAGAAAATTCGCTGTCGTTCATTTTAATGAGGAACAACAACAAATAATATCAGTGTAAACAAAAACAACGAATAAATTGTTCAAAATTACCTCCACCTAGTTCCATACAATAATACAGTCTACTCCCGAAAGCGTTCCGTACATTATTCAAGATGTCCGGAGTCAGAAATCGGCATTGCCGAACAATTCCCTGTCGCAGGTCTTTTAGATTTGTAGACTTAATAGAGTACACTTTCGACTTCAGGTGTCCCCACAGAAAGAAGTCCATCGTTGTGAAATCAGGTGATCTATCTGGCCACTCCACTGAGTCCATTCTGCCGATACAACGCATTGGAAAACGTTCGTTCAAAAACTGTCTCACCCCAACATCAAAATGTGTTGGTGCACCATCCTGCTGGAATCTCTTTCCACTAAATTGTAATAATTTTCTGAAATTTGTGTAATCATAGGATCTACACAGTTTTGTAATAGATTTAAGTATGTGTTTCCATTGAAATTACCTTCAATGAAGAATGGTCCAACAATATGATTACCAAGAATGCCGGTGCAGACATTCAATTTTTGTGGAGTTTGTGAATGTGTTTCCACCACCAAATGAGTTTTCACATCGCTCCAGTAACGACAATTACGACTAATCACTTCACCATTCAACATGAAAGAACTTTCGTCTGAAAAACATGTATTGTATAATAGGTTTGGGTTATTGGTCAATTTCTCGCTGAACATCTCACAAAACTGAAGTCAACGATCAGGATCATCTTCGTTTAATTCCTGAACTAGCCTTACTTTGAAAGGATGAAATTTGTAGGCTTTCAAAATCCGAAAAACACTAGTAGCTGGTACACCAAACGCTCTAGCTACTTGTCTGATAGATTGTCAATTATCCATTTTTATATGTCTTAAAACTGCAACTGCAACTCCGTCATTTCTGATAGAACGGGATACTTAATGTTTTCTGTTGTGAACAAAACCTAAAGTTCGAAACTCATCCATTAACTGTTCAACGTTCGGTTAGGTTAGGTTAGTCGTCACTCCACCGACCCTCCAAGGGTTTATTGTAGCTCACACCTATTCTCACTCGGCCAAACAAACCCAGTTTCTTGACGAAGCCGATTATTTTGTATGGTGAGTGGTCTTTCAGGTCAGATGGTAGGAGAGCCGAACTACCATCAGGTCAGATGGTAGTTCGGCTCTGCCGAACTCTAAAGACCTGATTCGGTCCCCAGCGGGGCAGGCACAAAGTATATGCTCTGTTAATGAGGTAGTCGGATAGTCAAGTTGCAAGATTAACAAGTCTAGTGAAGTTGTAAGTCATTTTACTGGTCCCATTCTACCAATCGACAGGTTAGATTGCTTTATCGTGCAATGTTGCTAATTTTAAAATTAACTGGTAAACCAACAAAAATTTTCGTCTCCAAAAATCTCGCCCACCGGCAGTGTCGCAAAAATCCCAGTGCCGAAAACCGAACTAGGTTTGCTAATGCTCGCAACAGATGCAAACTTAGGATTAATGAAAGCAAAGAACTTCACAATCAGATAATTAGGGATAAACTTTTTGCCAATCCCAATGGGTCTAGATCCTTCTGATTGGTAGCTGAAGCTGTTAATCAGAACTTTACAAAATCCACAATTCCACCACTAGCACAAGCGGATGGTTCAATTGCAACAACAGTCATGGAAAAAGCAAATCTACTAGCTGGGTAAGGCACCACCCACTATTCCGACACTAGAATCCACAATGCCGGAAAATCACTTTTTGACAGCGTCTAGTCAGGCGAATTTTGAAACAGCTCAATATCAACAAGGCGTCTGGCCCTGATGAAGTGTCCGTCATCGTAGGTACTTGAAAAGTGAGCAAATGAAATCATGGAGAAAGTCGTTAACCACTATATCCTCAAATCATCTAGAGCGATCATTAATATGGCTTTCAGAAACAAAGATCAACAGGCGACCTTCTATCGTATGTCACCCATATTTGGAATAACGCAATCAAGAAACATGGAGAATCAAGAGCTGTTACGCTTGATATTTCAAAGGCCTTTGACAGTGAGTTGGCATGAAAGTTTGCTGGCCAAACTTCGATGCTATGGCTTCTCGGATCATTTTTATGTAGGTATGGCTCTTCAGCTTCCTGATATCTATGGATATCTCTCGAATACGCTGGGGTCCCACAGGTATCCATATTGTCTCCAACTCTCTTTATATTATATGTTAACGACTTATTGGAAGAAACCAAGAATCCAATACATTGCTCTGCTGACGACAGCGCACTTATCTCGTCATTCCATTTGGGTTGCGGGGCATCCATTACGAAGGCACATCTCCACCGGCAGCAGGACGTTGCATATCTTAATGAGGATTTAGAAGTGATTTCGAATTGAGGTGGAAGTAACCAGGTTCAATTCAACGCCACAAAAACCCAGGCATCAGTTTTCTTTGCTTTCTGCTTCGATAAGTTTGTTGTAGGTTAAAATGAACACCAATATGTCTTGGCACAATCATGTTGCTGGAATTGCAAAGGCAGCTTCTCAAAAGCTTGGAACAATGTTCCGAACCAGAAAACTGTACACACCTCAGCAACTTTTGATGCTTTATAAAACTCAGATCAGACCTTCTTTGGAGTATGTTTCTCATGTATAGAGCTCCTCCCTCTAACATACCCTGAAGTTGCTGGATTCCATCCAGAAAATATCCATCCGCCTGATTGGAGACGCGAATATCATGTGCAACCTTGATAGCCTGGAACATCGAAGAAAGGTTGGAGATTTGTTTCTCTTTCATAGATACTTTCATGAGAAGTGTTTAAGTGACTTGCCACATTTGATTATACCAAGAGCGGTATATATCAGAAAAACGCCACGGAGTGTGGCTGCTCAGCGTTTTGAGATTCAACTCAGTACACCTGGAATCTCACTGTTTGAAATCTCTTTCATCTGAAGAACTGCGTTTATGTGGAATACACTTCCTGAGAACGTTTTTACGAATGAATTCAACTTCTAGCGATTCAAATCCAATGGAACCGTTACTTTCGCACATGCACCGCTCTGAGAGAGCCTTGAGGATTTTTCTGTAGTGATTGTGTTTTGTTCTTACGCCATTAGAAAACACCAACATTTAATATTAACAAGTTACTAGTCTATAGAACACAAGTAACAACCTACCCATTTGTATTTGTTCATTCATAATCGTACCTAACAAAAAATATTCTTAGGAACAAAATTCACTATGAAAGTTACCATCGTTGTCATCACAACTCGAGCACGTTTCATGGGCCCTTCGCTTACAACTAGAACACTGTATCCAACCATCTTCATGTTTTGATTCAGACCAAACAACGCCACAGTGAAAGCATTCAGGGTCATCATCTGTGTCATTATCGTCGTCTTTATATTTGTCACTTTTCTTTTTAGCAAAGTTCGTGCCACGTTTTTTGATTCTAGTTTTAAGTTTTTTGGCAGTTTCAGTTGGGGTTGGTTTAATAGTAGCTTTTTTCACTCTCTTTCTAGCTTTCTTTTGTTCCTGCTATTGATTCTTGCAACTCATTTTTATATGGGCCGCTGGTTAAAACTACCGTACGCCCTCTCTTTCTATTCACGTTTCTAATCTTAGGCAATGGTTTGAGAATCGAAAATAAGTTGCAAGGCGATATTGCGAAGGATGTTCTGGGTTGTGGGTTTAAGTAAGGATCAAATGTCGGTGGAGTAACTGCAGCTGGTGTTATCTGGG